TGAATTTATATGTATATATTAATTTAAATATATGTAGATAAAAATTTGAATATTTAATAATATTTTTTTGCTGAGTCAACACTTTTTTTGTTGAGTGAGCAATTTTTTGCTGAGTCATTGCTGAGTCAGCAGTTTTTTGTCGAATGAACAGTTGCGTTTAACGACATTAACGGATGAGTGGTTGATTTGGAAAAAAATTTAAAAGTCTGGGTATTTATGTGGGAGTTATGAAAAGTTCAGGTATTTATATGACAATTTTATAGTTCGGGTATTTATGTGGGATTTTTGTAAAAGTTCGGGTATTTAAATGCGATTATCCCTAATAATAATTATTATAATTTATACACATAATATTACACCTAACTACAAATTACATTACATCATCGGGTTGGTAAGATGGAATTTTTACATTATCATTGAAGTTGAAAAAAATTAACTAGAAAAATCCTGAATACGACTATTACTATATATGTATATAATTACATTGTTTGATTGAAAAAAGTGAGACTAATTATTATCTTTTCTATACGTATTATTGTAGTTGTAGACCGTTGGTAGAATTTACGTCCCATCATTATTAAATGTCTTTTTAAGTACAAAATTTCTTATAATTAAAGTTTGAAATAATTTTTTATAGATAAACTTTGAAATGGTAATTTGGAAATCGTTTAATCTTATATAAAATATAGTACATAATCTTAGAAGAGAATTGTGAATGAATCATATAAAATTAGTGTCATTTTGTAGTTTACATATTGATATATCCTATTTAACGTTAATTTTATTATTGTATTAAGATGTATGCAAACAAAAACTGAAAGCTTCTGCTTGGACCGGAAGTATTGCCATTGAAAAAAAAAAGGGGAAGCTTGTAAGGTAAATATTTCGTGTGGGCCAATATTAAGCGCATTGGGCCCATTTTGACATGTCAGGCCGGAAAAGATACGAAGAGTTCCAACTGGGCTAATGGGCCGAGATGAATATATAAAATGAGGCCCATAAGCAACCACACATTTTCCCACTTTCTCGTGCAATTGATTTCAATTTTCACGCGGAAATTCTAGGAGACGGAATCGCCATGGCTCCTCGTTGCGACGGATTGTCAGACGCCGCCATGAAAGATCTTATGGCTCAGGCGGAGAAGCTTCCCATCTCCACCGTCGTCTTCGTCGTTGGTACTATTTTCTCACTTCTCTCTCGCGCTCATCTCCATACGTGCTCACGTATCGTGGTTTGTGGGAGCGGTTTTGATGGCGGTCTCTGCAGCTCTGCAAGCGGAAGCTTTGCCTCTGGTCGACAAATTAGAGCTAATACAAGACGATAAACCGCCGTGAGTTAGATTCATTTTGTAAATGTTCGTGTTGATCTAACAAGTTCGTTCATCCTCGGGATTTGAATGGCGATGCTTGCTTGTTATAAAAGCCATTCTGATTCCTTTAGAGTTCAGAGATGTTCATATGATCATAAGTTTGCATTAATTATAATTTCTAAGTTTTGCATTGATACGGTCTGATTAATTGGGTTTGGTCTATATTTGAATATGGTTTTGCAGATTTCCGATAGGAATGCCTTGGATTCGGTTCTATGGAACGTACAGAGACTTGTTCATCAATGTAGTTTGTCCAGGAAAGGATTCAACTCTTGGTATGTATTTGGTTGTCTTGTCTTCAGTCTGTAACTTTTGAAGTTAAACTGATAATAAGCTAAAAGAATTCCGCAAAACAAAATTTCTCTATAGCATGTTCTTAAAGGCGATGGGCGATTCGTTCAGTTTGATCAATTCAGTAATTTATGTTTAAGATTTCTTTCTGCCTGTGCTGTTTCTGTGGTATTTTGCATCGGAACAACCTTTCAGATTCGTAGCTTTCTTGAATGCTCCGTGACTGATTCGATTCCTTTTAGGAGTCGATAATGTGGGCACGATTCCTGCATCTCTAGTGACGTGTGCTTCCATTCAAGGAATACGGCCAGATCTAATCATAAATGCAGGAACTGCTGGTGGGTTTAAGGTATAAATTTGAGTATTAGTTCCTCTACATCGCCGAAGCATGTCTGATTTCTCTCATCTTTCTGTATCTGGTATTCTTTATTGTTTATGATGCCCATAGAGTGCAAAGAATGATCCACCATGTGAAACTTTATCCTGTCCTGTGAACATCCTAGCATAAAGAAATGCAACTTGTCATGATTGTTGTGTTCTTTCAGGCAAAAGGAGCGAGTGTAGGTGATGTGTTTATTGCCTCTAGTGTCGCTTTCCATGACAGAAGAATACCTGTCCCTGTGAGTGTTCATATCTACCGGTACTGAATACTTATGTGCTGTGTTAGTAGAAAAATGTGAAGTTGCTTAATAAAGATGTTGTTCTTGAGCAGAATTCTTGATTTATTATCATTTCAATTACTTTTTCAGGTGTTTGATCTATATGGGGTTGGTACACGGAAGGCCTTCACTACACCCAACCTCGTAAAGGAGCTCAGCTTAAAGGTGAATGCTTAAGTTTTTGCTTTGAATTTGCTGATCATCTTCACTCGAGTTACGGATATTTCTTGATCTATCTACATGTATTAGTGACAATATGCCATATGCAGAAGTTTTTAAATACACTAGAAGACGTTCGACCAGAAACAACAGATGTTTTGGCTGTAAATGCTTGCTACCTGGCTTATTTGAAAGCTCGCAGATATAACCAAGATTGTCTATTTCCCCTTGGTGTACCCAGGTAGGCAATCTGTCTACTGGTGATTCTATGGATATGTCTCCACAAGACGAAGAACTCATCATTGCAAATGATGCCACAGTTAAAGACATGGAGGTAAAAATAAGAATCCCTTCCGATTTCTGCTCCTGAAACGCCTAAAGAGTGTCTGGCCATAACAAAACCTGCCTTCGAGTTTTTGTTTCCTTTTGTGTCTGAATCAGTTAATGCTTATTTCTACAAAAATATATACGCTTTCAGGGAGCGGCAGTGGCCCATGTGGCCGATCTTTTCAAGGTGCCCACGATCTTTATAAAAGCGGTAACGGATATCGTGGATGGCGAGAAACCGACATCGGAGGAGTACTTGCAGAATTTGCCTGCGGTTACGGCTAAACTCACGCAATCAGTCAGCCAAGTGCTTGATTTCATCAGCGGGAAATGCCTCTCAGACCTCTAACTCTTTTCGTTTTCGTAAATTCAACCTCTAGCAGGTTATGGAATTAAACCATTCGTAAGATTCAGATATTATGTGCATAATCATTCAAGCAAAAGGGTAAGAGGGTAAAGCATAAGCAGAGGCACTGACTAGGTTGTTTGCTTATGTTACAAACCATTGTTTGTCATTTTCTCCACAAAAAAAGTTCTAAACTTGTGGACGTAAAAACAAGTGTTAATTGTTTTTAAGCTTATGGGAATAAAAACGGATTGTTATTTGGCTGTATTTTTATTTCTATATTCATATCGAAGTTTTAAAAATAAGAAGAAAAAACAGATTGTTGTCACAAACCTGAAGAATCCACTATCCGTTATATTTATATATTTATAAAAGGGGTTTATTACAACGAATTCAATTTCGTACTTAAAAATCAATGGGGAAGTCAGGGAAAATATCATCAAAATTGATGCAATCTATTGGATCTTCCGAATCTTCCTCAGCTTCTTGCATCTTTGGTCCTTCTCCGAATTCCTCAAAACGAATACCAGAAATTGCCATGGCTTCTGCGAATATGTCGGAGGAATTCTCCGAGATTCCGTAGGGTTGGTCAGAAAATTGCGGCGCAAGGTTTCCGACAAGAGTATCATCGTGCCTTCCGCCATGGGTGTCCAAATCTTGAACCGTGGACTCTCCAATCTTCGTCTTCTCCACGAGACGAGGTGTCTGATCCAAATCTTTCTCATACAGCGAACTGGCTTCCTCCATCATTGGTCCTTCTCCGAATTCCCCGAAACGAATACGGGAATTCGCCATGGCTTCTGCGAATATGTCGGAATTCCCCGAGTTTCTGTTGGGTTGTTCTGAATCTTGCAGCGCAAGGTTTCCGACAAGAGAATCATCATGCTTCCCGCCATAGCTGTCCAAATCTTGAACCGTTGACTCACTAGGCTTCGGCTTCTCCAGGAGACGAGGTCTCTGATTGTTCATGTCGTTCAGTCGGAGCCTCACGATGTTCATGAGCTCGGAGATCTCATCAATGGCGACCTCCAAATCCCGTGTACTAGCCGTTTCCTCGAACCCATCCTCCTCCCAGCGAAACCCTAGCCCCGAAGTCTGTTTCTTCCCCGCCAAGCGACCCTTGTTCTTCGACTCGCGATAGCGGGACAAGGCGTGATCATCGCACAATGTCGGAGTTCGGTTGTTGAGGAAAGCGTCGACGACTTCGTCGACGGAAGAGTGGCCGAAGGAGTAGAAGGAGACGTTGGAATTGGCGGAAGGGGGAGTGACTAAAATGGCGATGTGGGTATTGCCGAGAAGGCAGAGCTCGGAAGCTTTCCGGAAAAGACCTTCGCGCCGTTTGGAGAATGCCACAGATCTCGCCTCTTTCTTCTCGATCTTCTGCATCGGGATCTTCCTCTTCGTCCCTCCCATCGTGGAATTCCCACGCAGACTACGAGCGGGCGAGCGAGAGAGAGAGAGATGTTTATCAAGAAAAGAGATAGAGAGAGAGAGAGTGATTTGGAGTGGGGATTTAGTTGTGTACTGTTTGTTCATATCTTTTTATAGATTCTTTTCAATTTGAATTTGAACAAAAAAAAAAATTTCTTCCACCGGAGAATTGTGTTTCCTTTTCTCTTTTAACGTCGGAAAAGTGAAATCGCCGGTTATTGCCTCTTTCTTGTTCTCTTTGGGTGAGAAATAAGGAAACTACACCACAGGCTTTGGCCCAATCATTCTTGGGCCCAATATCGAAACGCTGCCGTTTAAGACTTTTCCACGGAGAAAATTCATAGGCCCACGCCTATGCGATCAGACCCCCCCTTCAACCTTTTTAACCGTGGTCAAATTCTAACTAACCACGGTTAATGGTTACAGTCCCACAGCCCTACACGTGTACTCAACCAACGGTCACCGACAACTTCCCTTTGAATACTCACCGCTTGCGCTTCGATCCTCTACCTGTATGAACCCCTAAACCCTAACACCAACAATCATTTTCCTAGTCTCTCCGATAATTTTTCCTCGATCGATACACGCTGCAGAAAATGCCGAACCCTAGGGTTTTCTTCGACATGGCAGTCGGCGATGCGCCTGCCGGTCGGATCGTGATGGAGCTCTTCGCTGATACAACGCCTGTTACGGCGGAGAATTTCCGCGCCCTCTGCACCGGCGAGAAAGGCGTTGGGAGGAGCGGCAAGCCTCTGCACTACAAGGGATCGACGTTTCACCGTGTGATCCCCGGATTCATGTGCCAGGGAGGCGATTTCACCGCCGGGAATGGCACCGGCGGCGAGTCGATATACGGCGCTAAGTTCAAGGACGAGAACTTTATCAGGAAGCACACCGGGCCTGGGGTCCTGTCCATGGCGAACTCTGGTCCGAACACCAACGGATCTCAGTTCTTCGTCTGCACGGAGCAGACGGCCTGGCTCGATGGGAAGCACGTTGTGTTCGGACAAGTCGTTGAAGGTATGGATGTCGTGAAGGCTATCGAGAAGGTCGGATCCCAGTCCGGGAGGACTTCGAAGCGCGTTGTCATCGCCGACTGCGGTCAGCTTTCCTAAATCTGATGAAAAAAGAAAACACCTTGATCGTATAACAATGGCAGCTCTGGAGTAGGTTTCTTTTTTCTTCATCTTAGTTAATGGGTCTGTGGTGGGGTTTGAGTTTGGATCTAGCTACCATGAGTAATAAATAAGGTTTAGGTATCAGAAATCATTCCTCTGTGCTCTGTTTTTTGGAATTTTTTTCGATTAATTCATGAAACGACTCCAAAAGGCTCTTCTCCGGCGTACGTTATCATAAACCTTTGTAAACTCTTATCATGCGCCTCTCACCGCTTCACCGGCGTCTTCTCAACGTGATCGCGTTTTGGATCGCCGAGCAGTGGATCCAGTCGATGGAGAGGCCAATCGAATTCCGTTCTCAGATCTGCGTTTGCGAGGACGCACTTCTTCTTCTTCTTCTTCTTCTTCTTAGTCTCTGCTCTCTCCTCCTCTTCTGCCGCCGAGGGGGCGATTGTGGAAGAGATCGCGCGGAGGATAAATGGATCCAAGTAATCTTCGAGTTTTCTCTTTATCTTAGATTCCTGATTGGTCCTCGACGAACTGCGTTCTTCTCTGTAAAATATATACATCATTCAACAATGGTGGTTCCAGAAATAATGACGTCAAGATAAGAGAGAGATTTTTTTTAAAAAAGAGAGAGAAAGAGATTTAAAAAAAAAAGAGATAGATAGAGAGAGAGAGAGAGTGAAGATACAGAGAGAGAAAACGATGAGGAATGATCTCCTCGACGGAGGGGAGAGGAGGAATCGAAGCTCCGCCAGTTTCCGCCATGGCTTTCCCGCCTTCGGAGCTTGTAGCTCTTTCTATTCTTCGACGTTTTCAGTCGCAGAGTTGGTTACTAAATGAAATGTATCACGAGATGAGAATACGATCAACCCAACACGACGTCGTATTTTTCGCACTTGAACCCTCTGAACGAAACGAAGGCTTCCCCTGTGTCATTATTGTTTTTTGTTAAAGGTGTCTCATTCTTCTTCGGCATTCATCCAAGAATTATGCAGATACATTTTTTACAGTTAATAAATGTATTATGGGAAAGAAGATTGACGCATTTTGTTGGACTTACCAACAAGTCAGAAGGAGTTACCAAACGGTTATTGGAAGTTGTAAAAGTTGTGTCGGTTATTATATTGCGTCTATATAAACAAATATTGAATGTTGTAAACAATATTGCAGTTTTGTTGTTTTTGGCTGTAATCGTATTCGGTTTTTCTACCGAATAGTTAAAATGTTGTGTACTTATAATGTAATGAAAGTGTTGTTGTTTGAGAATTAACACATTTTCACGGATACAACAGCAATCATAAAACACCATCAAAATTCATTTTCATTGTCAATATTCATTCACACGATATGTAAAATCCATCTTTTCAAGAACATGACAAAATCTCTTGCCCGAATGGATCTTTGCATATATCTCTCTCGTCCTGAACGCGAGTAAGATATCAAGACCCACCCCGATAATAACACAGGCCAAAGCCATGACAACGAATACAAGGCGGTAACAGTGCGGTCCGATGCACATGTTGCCGCCACCTGGTGTAGGTGTGGCATCGGCGTCGTAGAGGAGGCCAACAAGTGGACCCGAGAAGAGGAACGAGCCGAGAGGCAGGGTAAGTACGAGGATGTTGTAGATGAGACCGTAGTATCTGAGACCGAACAGTTCGGAAGCTGTCGGGACGGTGATGGCGAGACGGACCCCGTAACAGATCACGACCACGACCGAGCCGATGTAGAGGGAACCCGGCATGGCTAACGCCATAAGTGTGTATCCTACGGCCATTATGATCTGAGCGGCTGCGTTCCATCTTGGCATTCCAGCTTCTCTGCACAGTTGGAAAAAATGCATGCATCATAATATCAAAATCTTAAATGAATCTCGTCGAACGCTGTTTTCATGATTGGTTTACGTGAGTTATGAAGAAATCCTCAACAGATAGCGCATATATATATATATATATATATAGGTCAGAGATGAGCAGATTACAACTACATCACTCCTCGAGTCGAATTCGGGTTCCCGAATAAATATAGTTGGGCCTATAAACCATCTTCTGGAATTTTAAAGAAAGCCCATTGGGTCTTAATTTAATATATTTTATTGTTTAATATCTTATAATGTTCGGCCCATTTATAGGCCCATAATGTATCGACATCATCTGCTTCATCTTGATGAAGAACTACTTTTTACAGATCGAGTGATGTTATATTTTTAATTACAAATAAATATGGAAAATAGTTTTGAAAGCCGGGAAGAAATCACAAATCCCCAGTCCCCACAGCTTTGCTTACGGGAGTTATAACGTCGGATACAAGTCTGTCCATCGACTCAGCTGCAGAGAGAGAGAGAGAGAGAGAGAGAGAGATCTTACGGGGTGTGAATTTCTTTTTTTTTTTATTCTGCATCCGATTTCAAAGGTGGGGTCGAGTTGTGTTGTGTGCTTGTGTTTGTGAGATGAATTCTTGAGAAGAAGAAGCGGAATTTGGGAGAAGAAACAAAGGGACTGGACGAAGATGCGTCGAGAGATCTCGGTTTTGGCACAACCCAGGTGCCTTCTTCTCTTGATTGCCCTAACGATTTTCCTCGTTTTCGCCCTCACCAACTCTGGAAAGGTACGATTTTGCAACGATCCTGTTCGATGCAATTTCTCGAATTGTTATGTTGTCTGGATCTGTATACGGACCCCTGTCGTGTCGGGAATCGTGAGCTATTACTGTTTGTGATTGAAACACTAATCACCCTCGTTGAAGCTCCGAGTAATGGAGTTGGGCATGAGAGATCTGATTCTAGAATCTTCTGTGTAGTTGTCATTAGGTGTTCTTCAGGTCGGTTGATGCTTGGATTTGGCTATGGCTTGTCTTTATAAGCTCTGGAATTCATATCAGCATCATATTCTGAACGAATTGTGGTGTTTTTCAGTGAATTGGTAGAGGAGCTGAGTGTGGAAAACTGGGTGCATTTGTGTTGAAACTTGTAAATCTTACTCCATTTACTGAACTGCGAAAAGATTGTGATCAGACAAGGACATCAATCCGCAAAGAAACGATGATGCATATTTCCAGAATTCATCAGTTAATTCTCGGTTTTGATTTAGTTTGTTGAGACAATATCTTGATTGCTGAGGTTGTTGGATGGGTCTGGGAATGGGTTATGTTATGTTTCCCTTCTTTGATAAGTATGTCTGGTGTTTGCTTAGACAATATTTTCATGTATTAGTATCGGTAATTAGCCCGATTTTCTCTTGCATCAGTCGCTCTTCTTTAACATTTTCAATGTTTTGATTTGCTTGCTCTCTGATTTGATGCTTAGGAAGAGGAGAAGCAGGTAGATGAAGATTATGACATCACCCATAGAGTATATCTAGATGTTGATATTGAAGGCCAGCGAATAGGTAAAGGATTTTTCACGTATTTATTTCCGTGATCGGTACTAGAAGACGGTATTTCCTTCTCTGCTTCTTGGGATCTTTTCTTTTCTTGTTTGCTACCTACAATTTTGGTTTATTATGTTCAGGCAGGATGATTATTGGGCTATACGGAGCAGTAGTACCCAAAACCGTAGGTATGTCTTTGATATCTTGCCTCGGGCTAAAAGAATGTGGATTTTTTTCTTGCCTCGGTCAATTCTCGGCTTCATTTTAACTGTTTTCCGTTTCCTAATATTGAGTTTCTCTGTTTTGCAGAAAACTTCAGGGCTTTATGCACAGGTTCATAGTTTTCTTAACTAGATTCGGTTTCTTTATTGGATTGTTCGACTTCTCACCTCGATGGCTTTGAACTTAAACCCAGGGGAGAAGGGCAATACTTCGAGTGGGAAGCCACTCCACTACAAAGGAACCCCGTTTCATCGTATAATTTCCGGTTTTGTAATCCAAGGAGGAGATGTTATCCATGGTGATGGGAAAGGGAGTGAGTCCATTTATGGCGGTATCTTTCCTGATGAAAACTTTAAGATAAAGCATAGACATGCAGGTAGTATTCACACTTGGTTTGCAATGTGTCAATTGGAAGTTCAAAATGTTTCTTTCGTTTCGAAAAGGTAAATAAGCTGTTTGCTTTTGGCGGGGTCTTCTTTCGCAATTGTAGGTGCTGTAGCGATGGTTAATTCAGGACCCGATTCTAATGGCTCGCAGTTCTTTATCACTACCGTCAAGGCCTATTGGTAAGCTGCTCTCTTATAAATTTCTAAATGAACCGTCTTTTTTTTTCCTATATGTGTCATACAGAAACTGACATATCGAGGTAAATATGCTTTCTTTTGCTCATGAGAAAAATCTGGGAACGATCCTCGGGTTTATACAAACGATATCTCAAAACTCAAGGGCTTGCGACAAGGATACACATCAAAACAGATGGACTGTGTACTATAAGAAGATGATATATATTGTTGCATACATTACACATTGGACCCCTGTCATGTTTTTCGTGCGTAAATCGGGAGATTCATGTCTCAGGTTGGACGGGGAACACGTGGTTTTCGGGAAGGTCATTCAAGGAATGGACACCGTGTTTGCCATTGAAGGAGGAGCAGGAACTTACAGCGGCAAACCCCGGAAGAAAGTTGTGATTGCTGATTCTGGAGAGATTCCAAAGGACAAATGGGACGAGGAGAGGTGATGATCCAGGCACTTCCCCAAACTCTGTTTTGTTCTTGTGATTCTCTTAGTTTTACCGGACGATCAAACGCTCGGGTTATGGTCGGAATCTGAATCCGAATCCGAATCTGAATGTAGTTAGTGTTAAAGGCTGTTCATGGAAATATCCCAAGCTCTTTCAGTTGAATGTTTCTTCCCGGGGGATTCAGTTGAGTACAAGGCTTCTTTTGATGTTCAATCTTAGTTCCTTTTTGTTCTATCCATTGTGTAAATCTCTGAATCTATCATTGGAAATATGATAAACCTTACTTTTAGCTTAAAAAAATGGTTACATGAAAAACATAAAATGCAGATAATAAGTGGACACAGACATTGGAACAGGTCAAAGCTCAAAAGCTGAATAATTGAAAGGAAGAACATCAAGGAAGACAATCCTACCATAGATGAATCCTTCCAAAGAACAAAGATCTAAAATTCATAATATCATATATATATATATAGAAACAAACAGGATATGACCATAGCCATAACCATAAGGTTCTTTAACAACTCGAGAAGTGGTGGCTTATAATATGTCCACCTAGAGACAGAAACATGGCTTATGTTCCCTTGGAATGACTATAACCCACTTTGTACTATGCAGAACAGAAGATTGACGCATTTCTTCCTCATCATGCCCCCCCATGTCTCCTCTTTTGTTTAGAGTTCAGTGTTTTAGCTTTTCTGCTGTCTTTTTCCTTATATATATATATGGGATGTCCAATCATTAGATATTCGAAATTTTAGAGTAATCGAATTTGAATCAGAATCTAAATCCAAATTTCTCATAATATATTACCCAAATTTGAATTCGTTTTGTTCGGATTTCCGAGATAATTCTTGGATGCCTACTGAGGATATTCGAATCCAAAATTTTAACAAAAATATGATACATATCATATATAAACTATAAAACCAGTTATATATAATATAAATATAAATTGTAATATGTATATAAGTATAAAAAATTTACAATATAATAATAGATAAAAAAGATATTAAAAAATTATATATTGAAAGTTATAATAAGTTTATATTAGATTTTTATATAATATAATTAAAATATATGAATAAAATTATAAATTTATGATTTCTCAGATACTCACGGATAATTTCACGTTTTGTTAACCAAATTCAAATCCGAATTTTGAATTTTTCTAAATATCATATCCGATCTCATATCATTGAGTGTCTGAATATCCGAAGACCCACGGATTGGGTTAGATACCCGAATTTCGGGATCTTTTGTCCACCTATATATATGTATATATACAGGGGGGTGTGGATGTGAATGCCATGATGTTGCTCAACTTGTACCATACATGCATTGGACAATTCCATGGGAAGACTCGAGGGCTTTGGGAGTGGAAGGTCTTGGAATTCTGTAGCCTCTCTACATTATCTTTTTGGTTTTAGGTTTATATGAAATGAATATCCCAATTTAATCGAATCGTAGCATTTCGGTATATACAATTTAATTTGGGTTTTTACATATGGATCTTTGAGTGGACACGTCGGTCCATCTCATGCTCATTTGCAAAAGGTCAAATGCTACATTTATATATAAATAGCAAAATACGTATAAGGTAAAAAAGGAAAAATTATTCTAGATATTCCAACTCTATTCTTTTTTTTATATATATGAAAGAGGACACGTCGGTCCATCTCATGCTCATTATAAGAGGTCAAATACTACATATATATATATATATATATATATATATATAGCAAAAATATTTATAAGGTAAAAGTAAAATTTATTAACCCATCAAACGTATCAAAGATCGTAACAATTCAATCTCCTTCATTTTTCCACATTCGTAATTTTGTTGAAAACTAGGAACAAAAATTAAAATAAAATAAAATAAATTGGGATTATTTTTTAAAAAAACTCGGCTGCTTCACTCCTTAGCTTTCACGTAAAGGGTTATGTGAGTTTTTGAGTAACACAGAGTTACAGAGATCAAAATCCAAAGATTTTGGACCACATTCTCAATCAAATCAAATCTATGTTATCTAAATATTGTTATTACCGAGTCTTAATTAAGGACTAAATCTTTATTTATTTGCATATTTGTTTAAATGAAGATAATTAAGCAGTGAAGTTGCGTTATTCTTATGTGTAATACCGATCTCCCTGTATCTCGCGATCATTCAAGACTGATTTCTCTCTATCTCTCATATTTCTCCGAACGAATCGAGTTCAAGAACACAGATAAAAAAGAAAGATTGGCACGAGTGATTTACGAGTTCAGATTGAACATTGTGTTCAATCCTCCGTCTCAGGGGAAGAAGAAATCGATTATACTCAGCTTTAGGGTTTTTGAGATTACAACAAGAATTAGGATTTTACAACTGATCATATGAGGCTCTGCTTCTTATAACCGACTGAAGAAGACGGCCGTTGACTCCAACAGTATTCCAAACCCTCTAAACCAATCAGAGACTTTCTCTGGCCTTTATGAACGTTAGCGTTCCAGGCATTATCAACTTACATTATGTTTTCTCCAAGGTTTTAGTTTTTTTTTAAATCTTTTTAATAGCGTGATATTCATTTGATATAATATGTAAAAATATTTTATATTTTCAGGTAAAATATGACATAAAGTAACTAAGATATGTATGACATATATTTTTAAGACACGATCACAGATTCACAAAATAATTAAGAAAAGAAAAATAGAGGTCAAAAATCCAAATCGAGTCCATCACACATGAGATAATTCGAACCGTTCCAGGCGAAGTAGACGTTTTTAAAACGGAAAAAGGATGAAAATTCATAATAATGCTTAATGAATAATAATTTCGTAATATTCCTTTTTTTTAAAATTTTTCAGTGAAGGGCAATTATGTAATAAACAAGAACTCCAATGGCATTTGTTTAGCCCCAGCTTTATATAAAGGCCCCAAAACTTCACCACACACATCACATTCACACATCACCAAAGAAAAAAAGAAAAGAAAAGGAAAAAGGCATCACAGTAAAGAGGAAGAAGAAGAGAATCCATCACATTTCCACCACCATAGCAAAAAAGCTCGCAACTACAACAACAATGGCGATGGCTTTCAAGATGGTAAACAACCAAACAAAAAACACTATTTTTTTAATTCACTTATAATATATATCCCATCATGAATCATGATGATGATGATGGTGATGATGGGTGATGGTGATGATGGCAGGCGACGACGGGGATGTGGGTGGCGGAGGAGAGCAAGAGGTCGTTCATGGAGATGAAGTGGAAGAAGGTTCACAGGTACATAGTCTTTAAGATCGACGAGATCTCGCGCCTCGTCACCGTCGATAAGGTCGGAGGCGCCGGCGAGAGTTACGACGATCTCACTGCCTCCTTGCCGGAAGACGACTGCCGCTTCGCCGTCTTCGATTTCGACTTCGTCACCGCCGACAACTGCCGCAAGAGCAAGATCTTCTTCATCGCCTGGTATTTCGATACACGCGCCCACACATATACGTATATGTTCTCCGATGGGATTTTTTGAATTACCCTTTTGCCCCTGGCCGAGTAACCGGGACTTGTGATTTGAAAGTGAACCTTTATGAGGGCAATCGGTTCGGTTATTTCTAAACCAAACCGAATAACTTTTAACCGAAATCTAAATGAATTTGATATAAAAATCGAATTTTAATCGAATACAAAATGACTAAACTGTTTTAGGAAATAAACAATTTTATCATTAAAAATAAAACCTAAACCGAAATCGAACTGAACTCAATCTAACATAAAACCGAATGGATATAAATTTTCCAAAACCAAAAAAACCGAATCCAAATAAAACCAAACCTGGAATATGAAATATCTACCCGGCCGTGAATTCGTTATCGACTCGATTTCCCTTTTTCTCCTTTGGTGCGTTTCATCACAATCACAGGGGCAAAATCGTAATTTAACATTTTCGGGTTTCGGTTTCGGACAGGGCGCCGGCGGCGTCGAGGATAAGGGCGAAGATGCTGTACGCGACGTCGAAGGAGGCGGTGAGGAGGGTGTTGGAAGGAATCCATTACGAGGTCCAAGCCACCGACCCCACCGAGATGGGATTCGACCTTATCCAAGACCGTGCCAAATAATAATTTAATGTCTATAATTACCTTTAAACATTAATTAACATTCTTAGTTAATGTTTAATCTTAATTATTGCTGCTTACCCTCTTTATGACTGCTTTGTGTGGGTTTTATTTTTTCTGTTTCGGTTAGGCGTTTTTGTCCCCTAATGTTAAAGAGTTTAATGATAAATGCTAATTACCTTCTAGATTCTGCCAATTATAATAAGTTTAATATTGAAACCACTTGTATTTGAGTTTTGCATTTTTTCGGAAATAATTTGCCCGGAAAATATTTGCTCTTTCCAATTATTATTATTATTTTTTTAAGCGGGTTTCTATATTTTTATACTTCTATAAATAACATTTTATTTGCATCCGACAAGTTTTATGTGTTTTCAATCCACCCTTCAGTCTTGTGGAACATGTCGTTTTAGAACAATTTTTTTTTCTATTTCAAAATAAATGACGTTTTCAGATTTCTCATACTTTATATTTTTAAAGTTTTATCCTTTATTAATAATATTTAAATACTTAAAAACAATAATTCTCTACACAATAAATAAAAGCATTTTAGATAAAATGTTGTTTTTTTTAAATATATGTGCTTAAATCTAAAATGTCTTATAAAACTAAAAGGAGAGAGTATTGAGATTTTTCGTTAATTGGTGCACATATTTAATTAATGCATGCTAAAATAAATAAACAAAAATAGGCTAAAACAAAATATCAAATGATGAAACAACTTCTAAATACAAGTAACTGCGTAAGAAGATCCATGTAACGGTTGTAAATGATGCATATAGGATAATAAACATTATTAGGAAAGAAAAAATTTGGGTTAGTTTTTTGAATTACAGAAAAGATATATATATGCCAATAGATATTTTCATTACTATAAAATATCAATAATTCGGACATTGAAAGCAGAAATTGACAAAATACACTTGGCCAAACAGGATAACCCTTACACTCCGGTTTTCCTTGATGGTGATAGTGATATAACGATCGGCTTACAATTCAATATATATTTTTTTTCTAGATATATAGTATAGTAATAATCATTTACATTTTAAATCAAATTCAATTTATCTAAATTAAAAATTTTAAATGAATTCTATACAATTCTCCAAAATGGTATTTTGAAAGAGAAAAATTTAAGATCAAATTCTTCCAACTATAACCAAACAAAGAGGTTAACCGAAGAATCAAAGTTAAAACATGGGCATAATAAAATGGGCCTAGGCCCAACATAAACTTCAAATACAAGCAAGTTGATGTGACAATTGGGCCTTTCAAAATCATGACAAAGCCCACATATGTCTGAAACTCCGATTTCGTCATGGGTCTTTGATTCGACGAAGGCTTCTCGATTTTTGGCGCCGGCGACGAGGAAGCAGGTCTTGCCGTTGAGGGAGGCTGTTGCTGCGGCGGCGGCTACGGCTAGGGTTCGGCATTTGCTGCAGCAGCGGCGGAAGCCTTTAATCCGGTTGGGCGTCAAGGCTCGTGGCTGCTACGGCTTGTCTTATACCCTCAATTATGCCGGCAATCTCCCGGATATTTCTTGATTCTGTTCATCTTGTCGCCATTCTATTTGATCTTCTTTCTCTCTGGGGGAAATTCTAGGTATTCCGTGTCTGGCTTTGGGCCGATGATAAGTTTCGATTTCGAACTGCTGAAGTGATTTTGGTATTTTATGGATGATTGAAATTCTATTGGGATGTATATAATCTGATTCGCATGATTACTTAAGCCAATTTATTTCGGTGATTTTGCGAATTTCTATATGCTTGATTTCCCGGTTCGAATCTGTGATACCCAGATTTGAAAAATCATCATGGCTTTAAGTTGTTCTGCCTTTGATTATTACTTCTACTTTGGAAGAACAGATGCTTTGGAATGGCAAATCACGTTATCACTTATCACAAGGAGATTATCAAGAGCTCTTCAACTAATGAGCTCAGTATCTTATATCAATGCTCTGTTTATGGAAATTGATCGTTATAAATATTTGTATTTTGCTCCTTGTGGCAATGCTATAGGCTGTTGTTGATTACATATCTTGAGCAGTTGATTAATTGACTCTGGTAAGTGCTTTTCTTCTTCAAACATTGTACAGATGTGAAAGGAAAGTTCGACAGCTGGTCGAGGAAAAGGGTGTAAGTATAGCTGTTGAGCCAAAGGCCCTGATGCATGTCATTGGGACCAAGATGGATTTCATAGATGATGAACACAGGTTGGAACCGTCTCATATGTATATGGCTTATAGCTGTTTTAGTCACTTACCATTCTTTGCGTGGACCATCCTTGTAGTCTCATCGTTCTAACTCTGTTGTTAGATGGAAAATTTTGGTTTTATATCAGGTCAGAGTTTGTGTTCGTCAATCTGAACTCAAAAGGGCAGCGTGGATGAGGTGAATCTTTCATGACGACATCTAGATCTAGTTAGGAAACAACGCCAGAAACAGAGTTCAAGATGAACCAGGAACATAGTATCTATCATTCTTACACTGAATATTACACCGAACAGCTGCTAGAGAATGAGCCCCAGTTACAAAGCAATATGCAAAAAAAAAAACATACAAAGGGTACCGAGAATTCGCAAGACTTGCCAATAAAATTTTGATCTTGATGCAGTCTACACATAGTTTATTAACTTTGTTTCATCGTCATTTCAGGTTGCCTGTTGGCGTAGGGGGTGACAAAGCTTGAACTTATCTGGCGGTTGAACTCTGCTTCATTCTACAATGTGCTAATACCTGCCTTTTTCCTCAGTCCTCTTTGGTCCATACTCAATCTCAACGCTTCAGCATCTTGAAATCTCCCAACTGATGCATATACATTTGAAAGAAGGACAGTGTCTACTGATTCCATAATGCCTTGTTTGGACAACCTTTTCACCAGTGTTTCAGCCAGTTCCACATCTCCATGCAACCCACAACCACTAAGGAGAGCTCTCAAATTTTCGGGATTCAGTGTATCGAGATGCTCGTTGATGAACTCTCGTGCCTCGGTCAAGCAGCCAGCCCTTGCAAGCATGTCGATGACACATCCTTGGTGTTCATTCTCCAGTTTCAAGTTCTCATCTCCTGAAAGCTCGTTGAATATGGAAAGACCTTCCTTTATCAGCCCGGAATGACTACAGGCACGCAACAGACACAAGTATGTAACGCTATCGGGTCTTTCACCTGCCGTTCTCATCTCATCATAAAGGGCAAGAGCAGCTTCTCCTAGGCCATTGATTCCATACCCGTTTATAATTGCATTCCAAGAGATTATATTGCGGAGACAACCCATTTCCTCGAAGACACTTCGGGAGAAATCCATATTCCCGCAGTTGGAATACGCTGAGGTGAGACTATTTTGAACGGATCTTTCGCTGGTGGAACCGACCTTAAATGCCAAACAATGAAGCTGTAGACAGAGTTCAAATGCGGCTACATCTCCTGAAGCTGTTATAACATTGGTGATTAGGGCTGAGTCCAAGGTGTAATCTTTTCGAAGCATGAGCTCCATAAAAAGCTCCAGAGCCAATTTCGGTTGACCGTTATGAAGATGCCCGGAGATAACCGCTGTCCAAGAAACCAAACTCTGTCTGCTCATCCGACAGAAGACATCCATTGAAGAATCCAAGTCTCTGCATTTGGAATACATTGTCATGAGGGAATTTGCCAGATGGGTTTCAAGCTCAAACCCACAAACAATGGCTTGACCATGAATCTGCTTTCCTCTCCTCAAATCCCCAAGAACTGTACAAGCTGAAACAAGATTCACAGCCATTACTGCATCAAGATTCACATTGCCATCTCTCATTCTTACAAAAAGATTTATTGCAGCATTAGCATAATCAAGTTTGATCAGCAAACTAATCATTGTTGTCTTGCATATAACATCTTTCTGCTCCATATTTTCAAAGGCTGTAATCGCTCCATCCAAGTCTGTCAAAGAAGAATACATATCGAGGACCGAGTTATTGACCGATAACTCAGAATCAAAACCGGATTTCACCACTAACCCGTGAATGGATTTGCACAATCTTTCCATCTCTAAATTGATGCAACACTTAATCACACTCATCAACGTTGAGGCATTAGGAGAAAAACCAGTCCTCCTCAATCTGTTGAACAGCGATATGCCTTGTTCAGACAGCTCGTTCTGAAGATACCCTGAAATCATTGCGTTACATGATACTAGACCTGGGTTCTTCATCATGTCGAAAACTTTACAAGTATCTTCCAAGCTTCCGCATTTCGCGTACGAATCCAACAACGCGGTGGCAACAACTGGGTCAGGATCCAACCCATGTCTTAGAATCAATCCGTGAACATGTTGCACCAGGACAGGATCTCTTAGATTCTGTACTCCGACAAGAACACCGACTAAAGTGAAGGAATTTGGAACAAAACCCAGAGACCGCATCCGGGAAAACGATCCAAGGCATTTCCGGTAAAACCCGTTAATGGCGTAGCCATGGACGAGAATAGACCAGGTCACGACGTTTCTTTCGGGAATTTGGTCGAACAGCTTCTCGGCTTCCAGAACTTTGCCCGATTTGAAACAGCTGCTCAAGTCCCTGGAATGGGAATAGGAGTCTATCCGACCGGTAGTTAAAGCCGAGAAGGTTTTGCAACTGGAGAATCCAAACGGAGTTGCAGCAATCTTCTTCTTCAAGATCATACTAATTCTGTCCACCCGATGACGTAGTGATCAAATCACCACGTGGGTATATTTCCGGACGTATCTGTATGTATGTATATATATGAATTAACATCGAGTATATTTGGTCATTTGACAAAAACGTGGCAACGATTAGAATATTAATGTTTTGTTGCTATAGCAGGTGACGTCATTAATCAGGGTGTCAATTTTGACCCAGACCCGACACGAACTCACCCGACAAATATTCGAACCGGGTTCAAATCGGGTTCGGACTTGATCGGATTGAGCAAATCCTAACCCAATCCACCCCTCTCCAATGCGTTCTCTCTCTCGTTTGCCGCTTTCTCTCGCCCGCCGCCTCTGCCTCTCATCGTCGACTCGTCGATTCTCTCTCTGTCGACGGCGGCCGCCCCCTCTCTCTCGTCGTGGGTTTATATTCGTCGATTGAATCTCAGGCTCTGAGTCTACTGTTTCTAGTGTCCATTTTGCGGTGCCGACTGAATCTCAGACTACGATTCAATAATCCTTTTCCGAGGTGCATCATATTTATGCATGAAAAACGCAATCAGTTTGGTCTACAGTAGCTTCAGGAGATGTCCGTATGTTAATCTGATCAAAGGATGAGACAACATTAACAAGATGAAGTCTATTGCTTCTAGTGTACATTTGTCTGCGTTTGAATCTTTATGGTTTATTGGATTTATTAAACGTTCAAATGTCTTGTGATATTGTTTTTCTTCTGTGTAGTTAAACAATGGATGAAGGCAAAATCGATCAGGAAGAATTCTGAAGTGATGGACTTTGGCGTTGCCAGTGCTGCCGGTCATACATTTGGTCTCGGTTGGTATTTCAGTTCGTGTTCGTGATGATGAGAAACCGGAGATAGCGGCAATGATGAGCGAATTGCCGCGGTCACGTTCTTTGCGGCTGAGTCGCGGGGGAGAACGGAGCAATGAAAGCTCACGATCTAAAGGTCGGTGAAAGCTTTTGCTTTTCGGCATTCAAATTAGCTGAACTAGTTTAGTTACTCTTTGTACGGCCTTTTCACATAGCCATTGTTCTTTGTTAATGTAGTTTGACGACGAATTAGTATATCTCTATACTTTGGTTCGTCAGATGTAATAGAGGTAGGTGATGTCTTTGGGGGAGTGGATGCAAATGTATGTTCCTTTGATGTCTTAAGGCATTGGATGAGTAAAACCAGATGTTACAAGCAAATATTTGACAAAAACCGTTTCCCCCGCTGCAAGATGATGCAGAAGCTGAAGGTGTCTTCTTCTCGTCCGGGAGATTGCCTACTGATTACTCGATGAAGATAATTTGGAAGACGGGGTTCATATGGTGGATTCTTGTCGGAGGCATTGTGTGGATGCTACTTGTTCTTGTTGCACTGTTGTTTCATATTTGGTCATGTCAGTCTTCAGTTGCATTCTTTTCAGGTGATGCCTATGGGCAACTTTTCCCCTTACTCTTATTTTCCCTTTTCAGCTGATTCCATCTTGAGATGATCTGTTGGATATACAGGATTTTAGATTCAAATCTCATTGTTATGAAATCAAACTGTGAATCTTCAACTCAAACTGTTCATTCCCTGGATAATCAGCGGATGTTGTACGGGTTATGAATGAATCACGGCATCCTTGTACTTTCCTTGCAGCTATATGCAACAAAGAAGGCAGGCTTTACGTCATGTTAGACTCCATTGGACTTGTACCGGGTCCCAAACCACAGCATCGTAAGATCATAACTGGATCTACTGAACTTCTGCCTTATTATCATGACTTGTTATAACATTTGTTTAGATGATTTTCTGTAGGATGTCCAATTCCTGTGGCCTATGATCCAGACAAGGTACTCATTCCAAGAGGAAAAACTGCAGATACAGTTGTCAGAAATCTAACCTACATAACAGAGGACGAGTCCTCAGAGTCTCGGTTTCCACTTTTTGGGGGCAACATAACATGGTCTGATCGGGAAGAGAGTTTAAAGCTGAAGCCTGAGATGAAGGTAAATGCAAAGTTTTTCCGGATTGGTCTAAAACCTCTTTCCTTGTTGCTTATGTGCTAATGAAAAAACTTTTCAGGTCCATTGTGGATTCATGCCGGGCGGCGGGGCTGAAATGTCACCTTTGGATAAAGAATACGTCAAAAAATGTAGATTTGTAGTTGCGACCGGGATTTTTTACGGGTACGATGCACCCCACCAGCCTTCAAACATAAGCGAACGTTCTAAGAAACTGTTCTGTTTCATAATGACCGTAGATGAGGTGTCGCTCGATTTCATAAAGAAAAATACTACCGTGAGGAGTGATCGAGATGGTGGGATATGGGTGGGTGTTTGGCGTCTGATTCTTCTGAAAACTCCTCCGTATGATGAGCCGAGGAGGAATGGGAAGGTCCCCAAGATTTTAACTCACAGGTTTGTTCCCTGAAGCACAGTACAGCATTTGGGTTGATGGCAAAATGGAGCTTATAGTTGATCCTCTTCTTATGCTAGAAAGGTAAGAATGCTGCTCATATGTGCACTTCTCTTTGAAAAGAAGTAGCATGTAATATAATAAATACCGGTGATAGCTTAGGATTTGTTAATTTGCTTGGTGAATTTAGTCCCCGGATTCATGAACCTTGAAATCTACCCTTTTTTCTTGAGATCAAACAAAAGCCAAATCCTTGATAGTTGTAGGAGAAACATGATTAGTTAACTTACACTGGGAGTGAAATCTTTATCATGTGAACCAGAGTCACTCCTGCTGA